CTTTAATTGATGTATCTAAACCATTTATTTTTAATATAAATATTCATATGTTTGCACATCAATCTACCATTTTATTATTTGTTTACTATTTGTTCCCCCTATTTATTGTTTCTCTGTTCCCCCTTTCTTGCCTTATTTCGGAATATTTAAACATATTTTTAAAATTCCATTTTATTTTTTATTTTTTATTTTTTTTTAAAGATTTTATTTATTCATTCATGAGAGACAGAGAGAGAGACAGAGGCAGAGGCAGAGGGAGAAGCAGGCTCCCCGCAGAGCAGGGAGCCCGATGCGGGACTCGATCCCAGGACCCTGGGATCATGACCTGAGCCGAAGGCAGATGCTTAACCGACTGAGCCACCCAGGTGTCCCTAAAATTCCATTTTAATTTACCTGGTTTTTTTACTATATTTTTAAGGATCTCTAAGAATTACAGTATATATACTTAACTTTTCACACCCTACTTAGAATCAGTATTTTACCACTTAGAGTGTAGAAACCTTACATCATAGAAGTTTCCTTTACACTCCCTCCTTTATATTGTAATTGTCTTACCTACCTATATTGAAACACCATCAGACTGTGTTATGATTTCTGCTTTCAACTGTCAGACTTACTTCAAAAAATTCAAGAAGAGAAAAATAGTCGGGGCGCCTGGGTGGCTCAGTTGGTTAAGCGACTGCCTTCGGCTCAGGTCATGATCCTGGAGTCCCTGGATCGAGTCCCGCATCGGGCTCCCTGCTCGGCGGGGAGCCTGCTTCTCCCTCTGACCCTCCCCCCTCTCATGTGCTCTCTGTCTCTCTCATTCTCTCTGTCTCAAATAAATAAATAAATAAAATCTTTAAAAAAAAAAAAAAGAAGCAAACGTGGAATATAAGGAAGGAAAGGACAATAAAAATGGTAAATATCTGGGTAAATTTAATAGACTATTTTTCTCTTTTTTTTTTTTTTAAAGATTTTATTTATTTATTTGAGACAGAGAGAATGAGAGAGACAGAGAGCACATGAGAGGGGGGAGGGTCAGAGGGAGAAGCAGGCTCCCCGCCGAGCAGGGAGCCCGATGCGGGACTCGATCCAGGGACTCCAGGATCATGACCTGAGCCGAAGGCAGTCGCTTAACCAACTGAGCCACCCAGGCGCCCCACATTTCCTTCTAATATTTCTCTTCTGTCTGAAGAATTTTCTTCAGCAGTTCCTTCAGAGCAGATCTGCTGACAATGAATTCTTTTAGTTTTCCTTTATCTGAGAATGTCTTCATATCACCTTTATTCCTGAAGTATAATTTTGCTGGATATGGAATCCTGGTTGACTGATCTTTTCTTTCAGCAATTTAAAAATTTTGTTCCATTTTCTCTTGCCATCTATGGTTTTGGTTGATAAATCCACAGTTATTCAAATCACTCTTCCTGTATAATTAATACATCATTTTTCTCTGATTGCTTTCAAGATTTTTTTCCTTGTTTTCAGTAGTAACTGAAAATTATTTTTTTCTATTATTATTATTCGGTTTCTCTCTTTGGGGTTCACCAGAAAGCTGGAGTGTGGAGATTTATTTACTCTTCTCTTTTGTTGGCTTCTTCCCACAATTGCACCTGCATCTGGAGCCAAATGATGGGAGGACAGAAGGAGACAAAAAACATCAGAGGCTCACCATCTCTCAGGACCACAGTTACTCTGATTGGAGAAGTCTCTCCTTCCTCAGAGTTTGAGACATGTGGGTCCCTGTTGTCCTAGCCACCACTGCAGGATTGCCTGGGAGTTGGGTCATGAGACAATGGAGAAAAGATTAAAAAAGAAAAATTATTTTCCCTCACTCACACTGAACATAAGGGGCTCTCCTTTCCTGAACCGCAGGTCAGAACTAGAGAGCTGCTTTGGGAGCTCTTTCTGTGTTGATTCCCCAATTCCAGGTTTGGGCTGCCTTGAGACTAGGCCAGGGGATACCAGAGGAAACCAAAATGGTAAATTTGCTAGTTCACTAGGCCAGAAAATTCTGGCCTTCTTCCCCAATTTGCCTGCTAGTATTTTCTCTTCAGACTACTCATGTAGCTGCTACTTGTTCACAGGTTTTATTGCTGCATTCAGTGGGAGGAGTGTTTACCCAGAATTGGAACCAAAATTGCTTTTGAAACTAAACAAATTTAAGTATCTCCCAATTAGGGGCGCCTGGGTGGCTCAGTCGTTGAGCGTCTGCCTTCAGCTCGGGTCATGATCCCAGGGTCCTGGGATCGAGCCCCGCATCGGGCTCCCTGCTCAGCGGGAAGCCTGCTTCTCCCTCTCCCACTCCCCTTGCTTGTGTTCCCTCTCTTGCTGTGTCTCTCTGTCAAAAAAAAGTATCTCCCAATTAGTATAAAACAAAACTAATTTTTTTAAAGATTTTATTTATTGGGCGCCTGGGTGGCTCAGTTGTTAAGCGTCTGCCTTCAGCTCAGGTCATGATCCCAGGGTCCTAGGATCGAGTCCCACATCAGGCTCCCTGCTCGGTGGGAAGCCTGCTTCTCCCTCCCCCACTCCCCCTGCTTGTGTTCCCTCTCTCTCGCTGTGTCTCTCTCTGTTAAATAAATAAATAAAATATTAAAAAAAAAAGATTTTATTTATTTATTTGAGCGAGAGAGCTTGAGCACGCACGCGCGAGTGGGGGGAAGGGAGAGAAGGAGAAGCAGACTACCCGCAGGGGAGGGGGGGCTCGATTCCGTGACCCTGAGATCATGAACTGAGCCAAAGGCAGCCACTTAACCAACTGAGCCACCCAGGTACCCCCAAACTACTAATTTCTTTAGAATAATTTGATTTATGCTTAAAATCCTCATTTGTTGTAATTTACATTATAACTAAATACTGGCTCTCTTCATCACATTCCTTATGATGCTGAGGAGAGAATTCTTTACTAGCTAACACCATCCCAGATGGAAGTAATGTGGGTGGAGGTGCTCTCTTGATTGGGGGAAGTTCCTTGTGGAGATTTCTGGGAAATGTAGTCTTCTAAGTACCAAGCAAAAAACAAAAACAAAAACCCATGGGGACAGACAAAATTTATTTTAATGAGGATCTTAGAAATTATCTCCTGATAAAACAAATTGTATGGCTTCCTTTGGTTTTGCTTCAAGTGCAAAGAAGTCACATAATTTAAGTGGGCTTTAGGGCGGATAGAACATATTATTGATTGACTTGCTAATACAGCATTAGTTTTGGGGGTTTTTTTAGACAGCAGACCTTATTTCACATGGCTTTTTCAACAATTTCCTATTCCTGCTACAATTGCCCTGCCATGTTTTTCCACAAAGCATAATTAATGATGGCCATCTGATAGGAAAATTCAATTTAATAGAATAGAAGGAAAAATATAACCAACACCAAAAAAATTTATAGGCATAAGTTTCAAAATTATAGGCATCATTACAGAGTGGTGGATTTATCACAAATTCCAGCCACAGAAAAAGACTTAACTTTGAAAAGTAACACTAAATTTATTTTTTTTAATTTTTTTTTAAAGATTTTATTTATTTATTTGAGAGAGAGAGAACACATGAGAGGGGATAGGGTCAGAGGACGAAGCAGACTCCCTGCTGAGCAGGGAGCCCGATGCGGGACTCGATCCTGGGACTCCAGGATCATGATCTGAGCCGAAGGCAGTCGCTTAACCAACTGAGCCACCCAGGCGCCCCAAGTAACACTAAATTTAAAGTAACTGTTTTTTTTCCCCTGTACTTTGTAAGTACTATTTCTCACCAGGCCTGTACTGCAGAATCATGATATAAAGTGGGTAAAATCACTTTAAAAATTCTCTCTCAGCTTTGGTGGAGGGTAGAGGGTACAAGTTCAGCCTTGCCAAGAGTAGACAAACTTGACGTGAGAGTCTTAGGAGAGAAGGATGGCATCTGGCCTAGTGTTCATATGGAAGACTGGGCCTGGCACAATGTATGCTTGCTCTCTCATTCACTTAGTCAATATTTACTGAGCACCTGATAAGTGTCAGGCACTATTCTAGGCACTGGGAATATAGCAGGGGAAAGTACCAAGTTCCTTCCCTCAAAGAGTGTACATTCTAGTAGGGGTGACAATGACAGACAAATAGTATATATATACCACATGTCAGCTGGAAATATAGCAAAACTAGGGCAAAAGGAGTAGGGGAGGAGGAAATTACTATGTTATGTACGGTGGCCAAGGAAGGCCTCCCTGAGTCAGTGACATTTGAGCAGAGATCTGGAAAAGTAAGGGATGGTTTTGAGGCAAGGAATGACTGACCAGAGAGGCTGCTTCAGAAGAGCCCCTTCCTGCTGCACCCCACTTCTCACACATGGAACAGATAAACAGGTCCAGAGAGTAGTTCACTTTCTAAAGTTGCATGGCTAGAAGTGGAAGGGCTAGGCAGAGAAGCCACTTCTCTGGATTCTTTGGTCCCCTTATCTCCCCGGCATTAGCAGATCGAAGACAGAGGGAAAAGGTGTATAACGAACATTTAATTTAGGTTGTGATTATCTCTCCATGTTTTCAAAGATTCACCATCTTAATACTTCAAAGACAAACATTTTCGTTTTCAGATATTTAAGATTCTTGCCATCATTTTTCTTAGTAGTCCAAATGCTGTTCACATTAAATAAGTAACCCTGGTACTCAGAAGTGAAAAGTGTTCCTCACGGAATTCAGATGACATTACTATTTAACATAAGCCGGCAGTGTGCCAGGAAGTGAGATTGGTATCATCAACCCATGTTACGGATGAAAAAGCTGAGGCCCAGGGAGGTGAAGGCATTTGCCCGAGATCCCACAGCCTGTCAGTGGACAATGCACTTTCCTCCGTGCCTCATTGCCCAGCTCTAAGCACAGGGTGGCGTGTCGGTGCGAGAGGACCCCACCCCATGCGTGCTCGGCCCCGGCTCCCGCGTCCTCTGGAGCAAGATGCCAACTATCTCTTTAAGAAGGAAAGTGAAGACGGGCCGCTTACGCAGCTGCCAGCGAGCCGCCCACTGGCTGGTCCCTTCCATCCACCTCACCCTCCCCTCCCCTCCCTCCCGGCAGCCCCAGCCCTGGCGAGCCGCCTCCAGCAGGGGCTCCGGAGAGCAGGTCGGCGGCCTGGGCAGGGCAGCCGAAGCCATGGAAGCCTCCGCAGGTGATGACAGGGACCCCGGGGACCTCCGGGCCCCCCGCCCAGCTGCGCCCACCGCAGCGGCGAGTGCCGCGTGCGGTTGGGGGGAGGGGAGGCGCGGGCCGCGCCGGGGAGCAGACGGGACTGAGCGCCCGGCAGGCAGCCTGCCCTCCGGGCTTTCTGGCTTCAGCGGCCCAGCTGTCAGCTGCGGGGGGCTCGGCTGCCCGGTGTCCCCGCCCGCGTTCACCCGCCCCTGTCTGTGTGTTTTCCCCCACCGCCGCAGGTTGCTGATCAGGGCCAGACAGCTGCAGCCGCGACTGCAGAGGCGCTGCGCCAAGCGGGACCGGAACGGTGAGAGCCGGCGGGCTGCGGAGCGCCAGTGGACTCAGGTGAGGAGGCCGCGGCCGAGCCCGGAGGGGGCCCTGAGCTGCACCCGGCGGGCGGGCGGGCGGGCGGGGGCCGCTGGCGACCGCCGGCTGCGGTAGGATCCCTCAGAGGGCACCGGCCGAGGAGGAGTTAACTGTGACTCATTTTTACCCTCCCTTCATTCCCCCCCATCCCTCCCCCAAACCCTGAAAATCACTAATTACAGGATGCTGATTGCTGCAGGGAAGATGCCCAAGGTGGGCGATTAGGAGAGGTTTAGGGACCACCCCGTTCTTAAATGTCTTCCTCTTCAGGTATTTAGCAAATATTTAAGCCCCTTTCCTTTTTTGAGGAGGAGCAAGGGTACCTAGGGGTGAAAGAGGGGTGGAACCCCCCCCCCAACACACACACACCCAACCCAAGGTCAAGTGCCAATGACTGCTTCTTTACCACATTCTCTCCAGCGAAGCCTCAGGGCCCTGGAAAACATGCCCATGACCGCTACAGGGGGAGATCTGAGCCTCAGTCTCCCTGGAGCTCCCTCCGCTCCTCAGCAGAACACCTACTAGCCTGGGAAGCCCCATATTCCCTTCCTCAACCCTGCAGACTGAGGAGAGGCCTGGTCACACAGCTGCCTGTTTCCTCTGCCCTCTCTGCCCATCTGGAGGGTGGGATGGGCTAGAGGAGCTTATCAGGAAAAGGTGATCTCTGCAAGCAGGGTGGTGTAGGGAAAGTGCCAGAGATTGGGCTTCGATTCCCTTAGCCTCCTAGTAGGCCACCAGTAGCCATCTTAAAATCCTTTAGGCGTGGGTGTCTTGTCTGTTCATCTGTTAAATGCAGGAGTTGGATTCGATGGTCTGTATAGTTGTGATATGCCACTCAAGTAGCTCTTACATGTTAGGGGGGCCCCTCTAAAGCAACCCAGAATTTAAGCTTGGGTTTATGAAATAATTGGGGTTTCCTCAGTTGGTCTCTTTCAACTCTGGACTTCTCTAGTGAAACATGACCTTGTGAGCCTCATGGAACAGGAGGCATCAGACAGTCCTATAGTGGGGTGACCTTCGTGGGGTTACTTTCCATCCCCAGGCTTCAATTTCCTCATCTGTAAATCTGGGAAGAGACAGGCATGCCTCAGAGGGTTGAATGATGATTAGAGACATATAAGGAAGTATCTAAAACCATGCCTGTGCCCAGCACATAGTAGGTGTTCAGGGTCGTAGGACTTGAGAGATAGACTGGGGGAAGAAAGGAGGGGTGGCTGCTTTTAGCCTCTTCTCCCCCTCCCCCACCCCACCGATCTCTTCCGCATCCCTGCGGATGGCATCCCTGCCAGGGCATAATGAATGCTGGAGTGTGTTGGGCTGAGGGCCTAGGAAGCATCCAGGAGGTACAAACACTTCCACTGCAAGGACCGTGACATCATTCTAGCTAATGATGGACCCAAGGAGGCATATACAGTCCAGCACTGGGTTTGGAAAATCTTGGCATCCGAGGGCAAAGTCCCTAAGGGAAGAGAAGCATCAGAATCTTGTGTGCTGGCAGGGGTCAGGGCCAGGGCCTCCTGATCCCATATGGGGCCTGCTGTTCCTCCCTTGCCCTCCCTGCAGTCTCCCACTAGAATCTCCCTGAGACAGGCAGTGTTTGGTGTCTGTATTTCCTGTTCTTTATCTTCCCTCCTGCTGTCCTTTCAGCCTAGCAGTCACCCTTTCTTGCTCCAATTTATTCCACAGACACTCTGCCTCTTACAGCATGATAGAGAAGGCTCCCTGTAGGCTGGGGCAGGGCATTTTGCTGCTGCATCATTTGGGCCAAATGAAGTTATGTCCCCACCTGCCCTAAGTCCCCATTAGATTGTGAGCTCCTCCCAACAGAAGCCCCATCTTTTTCCTCTCTGTGTCTCCAACCTCTGGCCCATGGCTTGGCACAAAATAGGTGCTCAGTAAGTGTTGAATAAGTTTGAGGAAGTTATGTCCCTAAGCCTACTAGGTTAGGGAGAAACGGCGGGAATGTGTTGACAGTTGTCAGAAAAGCGCTGCTAAGCACAGGGCACTGTGCAGGTTGCTGGTTGCCATTAATCACTATTACTAATAGTGTCATTAGTGTAAGGCCAATAGCCAGCAGTTGGTTCACCTTCTCCTCGAGGCAGGCTGGAAGGGGCTCAGTGTGCCTGGCAGAGGGGTGATGTTGGCAAACAGATGGTGCCGCCTGGTTTAAGAGGAGCATGAAGGGAAGAGGGTTGGGAAGAACCTGATTCCAGCCCGTCAATGTGCTTGGAGGTATGGGGGCTGGGGGGGCAGATGAGGAGAATCAAGTGGGCCGAAGTGGACACGCAGTAGAAAATCCAGAGACCCAGGCCCCAGGTCTCACTCCACCCCTGCCCCATTGTGTGACTTTGGGCCAATCAGGACCTCTGGGTCCCCAGCTATCAGATGACAGGACTGGACTACTTGATCCCTAACGCTCCTTCTGGTTCTGACATTTTGTCATGTGCATTTTGTTAAATGAAAATGGGACAAGTATTATTACTCTTAGTATCATCTGTGGAATACCAGGCTGTTACCTACCTCGGGTGATCCTCGTCACAAATTATATCTATTTGAAAGATGGGGAGCCCGAGGTTGAGAGGGATTGACTTGGCTGCGGTTGCACAACTAGGAAGGGCAGCATATTACCTGACACCAGGTCTGTCTGACCCGGAAGAGCATGCTCTTCCGAAGGTTTCACTCCCTCACCCTGTATATACCTTGCTGTCATGGCTGGGAATTGTGTGTGCCCTTGCGCACCTGCCTCGGGGTTTGGAGAAGGGAAAGCAGTGAAGGGTTCGTGACCAGAAATCAGGTACTGCCCCAAAGTGATGACTGCAGGGGACTTGCTGGGTTGAAGAGCATGTACAGCAGGGCTGGGAAGCCCTCCTGTCACCATGAGCCGTGCTTTGCTGATGGGTGGTGGGTGCCCTTTCACTGCTGGACCTGAACGACAGTCACGACAGACACACTGTTTAAGTGCTCCCTATGTGTTGTGCTCTGTTTTATTTATTCCTGAGACAATCCCGTTATGACTTTTACCCATTCCACAAAAGAGAAAGCCAGGACGGAGAGACATAGAGCCTTGCCCAGAGTTACACAGCGAATGTGTGGCTAGCTGAGAAGGTTTAGCTGGGGGCACACTGTACTGAGAGTCAACAGGGTTGCTTCTAGTCTGGGCCCTCGCATTAACTGAGTAATTTTGGGTAAGCCAGTCTCCCTCCGGAAGTTGGCGTTTCCATCCTGCAGATGGACTAGATGCATCTATTGGCTCTAAAAGACCTAACTGCCACCTTGTCCCAGAATGGGGAGGGTGGGGGGATTCCTTGTCTAGCTAAACGTTGATCAGCATTTGCTTATTACTTCTTAGCCAGGCCCTGGGCTAAGCGCATGGGATCCAGGATAAAGTAAGAGGTGATCCCTAGTTTCAAGAAACTGATACCTAAGCAGGAGACAAACATCTAAACATGTAGGTATGATAAACCATCTAGGAGCTGTGATGCATACTGATAATGGTGTGTAATGGTGGGTCAGAGAGGGGAGATGATCTTTCCTACTCCGAGGGATCAGGAAGGCTCTAGAGAGATGATGCCATTGTCATGTCCTTGAAACTCTGAATTGAGTTTATGAATCACCATCATCCTCATCATCCACCCAGCTTAGGACCTTTCCAAACCGTTCTAAAGATTTGTTGGCTTTTGACCCCAGCAACACCAAAAGTGGCCACAGAGTCTGAGGGACCATTCAAGCTCACTCTGACACAGCTCTAGTGGAATAATCCATCTGTCCCAGGCGGATGAGAATCTTTCCTGTCTTTAGAGGCTTCTAGAGGTGAGACTCTGAAATTCCTCTTGGAAAGCCTGTCTAATGCTGGATAACTAAGCCAATAGGCTTGGGGAATTCTTCATCTCTATTCTCAGCATGCCACCTGTCTGGAGCACCTGACACCTGGAGAGGTGAAGGCATTTACCCAAGATTACTCAGCAAGGCTGGGATCATAACTCTGGCCTAATTGGGATTGTATTCCTGAGCCATATGGGGTCTTTCTGCATCCAGGTCACCAGGGGCTGGAGGGCCATTTCTTCATTTGATGGGCAGCTCACGCTGAGTGAAGGCTTAATGCCGGTGATATGTAGCTAGAGCAGAGAGCCCGTAGAGAAGAGGAGGCCTGTGTTCCCCAGGCTGCTGTGCCCCTGGACAGATAATTGATACAGCATTAGTTAAATGTTCAGCACTGTCCTCTGAATCAAGATGCTAAGCCAACCAGAAGGGAGTGTCTGGGGAGAAGCCTGGGGAAGTGGAAAGAGCCAGCACCAAGGCATCAGGAGACTCAGGTCCTCATCTCGGCTCTGCTCTGCCCTCAACTCCCTGGGTGGCCTGAGGCCAGGCCCTTGGCTTTTCCACACCTACAAACTGACAGGCAGAGGCGGGGGGTCTCTGAGGGCCCTTCAAGCGCTGACTGGCCAACTCTTTCTTCTGTTCTATAAGCTCTTCAGGGGGTGCAAGAGTGGGTAGGATACAGATAACTGTAACCCGAGGAGGAATGAGATAAATATAACAAGAAGCACAAGCAAATACTCTGCAGGCTTGCTGGAGGGAGGGGGCTCGGGGAACACTCAGTTCAAAAGCCACCTCTTCAAAGGTATGATGAGGTGCAGGTAGAGGTGATTTAGGATTGGGTTGTTTTTGGTTTTGTTTTTTTAATCAGGAGAAATAACAAAAGCACACTATCGTTCTGGGACTGGAAGGCTATATAGCAGAACAGTGGTTCTCAGACCTAGATTTCAAAGATCAGTACATTTGGGAATCTGTCCTAGCTTTGCCAACTTTATATTTTGCCAGATGGACATTCAAATGACACTTAAACAGATTTCTGTTTACTACCACTGCCATACAGTGAGAGAAAGAGCATTTTAACACCTCTATCCCCAAAGCAAGAAGGCTATAAAATATCAGTTAAAAAAAAAAAAGTACTCCAAATTAAATGCATTTTGCCTTAT